CGTGACCGACGCGAAACGTGTTTCAGTTTCCCTTTGGCGTATGTGCACATGCCTCTTCAAACTTAATACACAACTTTTTTTTTGTTGTTGTTGCGGTTTGACGTTTTTTTTTTTTATTAGCGACTTCTCCCTGCAACTTGCCTATTGTGGGATTTGTTTTGATATGTGTTTTCACATGTGGCGTTGTCTCCTCATTTTCCTTACTTTACTCTTGTGCCTCCACTGATGTCTTCGCCAATGAAATTTTACTGTGTGACGAACCTCTGACTACGCGGGTCCTCCCGGAGAAACGGTTGGGAAATAAAGTTTTAAAGTTTTAAGCTCTAAGTTTCCAAGTTCTTTTCTGGCGACGTGTTTATCTACCTAAGTTTTTTCCTGCGTTCAAGTTTCTACTTTTTCCTCTCTCTCTCTCTCTCTCTCTATATATATATATATATATATATATTTATATATTTATATGGCTTCTTATTTGTCACATGTTGACCTTGTATATATATATATATATATATATATATATATAAGGTGCGCGGACACAGCAACCGTAAGGATGATAAAAATAGAATTCTTATTTAATGGCGAAAAAAGTCACGCAAGAAAAAGGGGTGAAGTGCCGAAAAAAAGTTGTATTTGTTTACAAGAATAATGAAGGCTGGGCACAAGGACGCTAGTTACGCGGAAAGAACCTGAGAAAGGACGGAATAAAAGTCAAGGAACTTACAAAAATTAATTGTTAAATGGAAAATAGAATAAAAAATTAAGAATAAAAATAAGTAAGGGGCCTAACGTCCATCGACGCTTCGGCAGTGGCACTGCCTTCTTCAGGACGGAGCCCACATGGCGTAGTGGATTAGTTTTATAAAAGATTAGGGGGAGGGTTTGTTGACGCGAAAGTTCGAAGGGATTTGTAGGGAAAGGGAAGCAGGGAGGGAACGCGTTCAATTTTGTCGCGATGAGGGAGGCGTCGACGAACGTCAGGCCCCTTTCTTATTTTATTCTTGATTATTTATTCTATTTTCCGTTTAACACTTTATTTTTGTAAGTTCTTGTGTTTTAACTTTGACCTTTATTCCGCCCTTTTTCAAGCTTTTCTTCCCGCGTAGCTGGCGTTCTTGTGCCTAGCCTTCATTAATCTTGTAAAATAATACAACTTTTTTCGGCACTTCACCCCCCTTTTTTTTTTTTGCTTGAATTAAACATTTTTTTTTTGCTCGTCATTAAATTAGAATTTTATTCTATCATCCTACGGCTCCTGTGTGTCCGGGTATCTTACTTTTGCCTATATAACAACCGAAGCATTTGTAAACATTCGCCACATGATGTGCATATTATATATATATATATATATATATATATATATGGAATAAAGATGCATTGAAACACTTCCAATTTAGTTTAATCTCGTTGGAGAGTATAAAGGGTCGAGCGAATTGCAAATTGTGCGACACATCCACGTTTACATGAATGCGAATTAGTCGCACCGAATCCAGTTGTCCCATTCATTGCTGCCATGTAAACGGCATAATGATGTAAGGAAGTGTATCATATTCAAGTCGCGAGACAGAGATGGATCGAGACAGCGAATGCGAATTCATTCAGCCCGTGTAAACGGATCGCCTCGCATTTTGGTACTCGGAGGATTATGGAAATGCGCTCGCTGCGGGCGCGAGTGAGCAGCTGAGAACATGGCGGCGGTGAACCTTGTCGGCGCCGCAGAGAGCGGTCCCGTGTGGTCGCCCGCAGTTTTCTCCCGAGAAGAAACGCGAGCCTTTATTGCTATCATAAGTGAAGCGGGATATAGCTGAGCAGCTCGGTGAGGGCGGCCCCGTCCAAGCCTTGCGAAGTACGACTTGCGCGTCCAAGGGAGTTTCTAAAGGCTTCGGCGCAAGCACAAACAACGCCGAGAGCTCCGAGGACTGCATGGTAGCGCAGAGCGAGCAGCTCCTACCACGGTGCTGTTTCCGGCTGCGCCGGAGCCTTTCGGCCTCGGGGTCTATTTCCCTGCATATCCGCAAATTATACGCGGATATCCGTAGATATTCGCAGTAAACTGGCGGATGCGGATAAAAATTGGACGGATTTAGGCGGATTGTGGATCGGATGCGGATGTCAGATGCTGCGCATGCGTGTATCCGCGGGTACGGATCTAAATTTTTGCTCGGTGGCATTCAGTCCGTCGACTGACGTTTCATCTACAGATCGTTTCGTCGACATGCGACGTCTGATCGAAAGGCTTCCCGTGTTCGTTTCATTGAAAAACCTGAGACATTTCGTCGCACATCACCCTGCTATTTTCGTAACGAACTTTTTGCGCCTCGCCTGGATTACAAGGGGGGGGGGGGGGGCATGGTTTGGTTAAGCATGCCTTAGTGAATCGCGCGCTAGCTTTTAGCGGCTTAGTGAAGAAATGCGCTGTCGACAAGGCGTCGCAGGGGCATGTGCCCACAAAACGTACAGCGTCGACGAACCGTGTGTCCATGAAATGTATGTCCGTGAAAAGTTGTCCACGAAATGTATTTCCACAAAGCGCGTTTCGAAGAAACTATATAAATCCTAAGAAAGGTCTTATTTTTACTGAAGATCGCTTCAGTTAGTGCATTTGATCTGGTCAAAAATGCTATCTATAGAAAAAGAAAAAGTAAAGAATGCAGGGCATCAATCGTCCCGAGAAAGCTAGTTCTTTGGCAGGAAAAGAGCGGAAAACTTTCTCCGGGCAAAGAAAACCTCATACGAACAAGTCACAAGAAAGCATAAGAAACCTACCCTCTCCGCAGAAGGTTTATGGTCATGATACCAAAAACAAAAGAAGTGTTTCGACAGCGAGCACGACCCTATGGCGCCACGGTTTGCAAGTTTCGGAATCAGCAGCGCACGCACATAGGCAGCCCTTAAATTGCCTGTTTCTTTTTTGTATGCCTAGAGTTCTAGCCAAAAAAGTCTGGTAGCTCATATTCGCCCGGTTACGACGCCAGGGCGCCAGCAATGCCAGCGGCTGCCGCGCGCAACCTCCGTAACCGCCCCAAGCAAAAAGAAAAAAAAAAAGTTATTTTTTTTTAATATATATACTTGGGCGCCTGCAGGCCGCGATCTTTTTCGAAAAACACGTTAGTCGATCCGATCAGGCCTTGGACTCTGACTTAGCGGCGCATCTGCCCGCTCGCTGATACGAAAAACCGTGAGACTCAAGGCGGCCGCATACGCTCGGTAATATCACAGAAAGGATTTCGTCTTCCTACCACTGCTTCTCCTCCTCTCTCTCCAAACGTTTTTATTTTTATTTTTTTATGATCTTTTCTTTCTCAGGCGTTTAGAATTCAAGGGAGAGTTAAGGGGCCACAGGCGAAAGTTTCCGATTCCGCGTGCGGCGGGGAAAACGCGGTCGGCGTGATTTCCGCTGATTTTGCTAGTCTAAATGTAATCGTAACCTCTGGTGGTTAGTAAGAACATCGACATGGATCCACATTTTGCGGATGCGCTTCGGATACGGATACAAAGTATGCGGATTGGGTTCGGATGCGAATACGAAGTCTGCGGATGCGGATCGGATGCCGATACTCAAACTGTTATCCGAGCAGGGCTCTATCTATTTGGTTCGGTCGCGGTCGGCGAGGTTTGGAGAGGCGAAGCGCGGTGGCGTCCTCAGAGCGTTTGGAAACGATGTCGCTCGCCAAGGCGTTGCGCACACACGTCGCCTCTGGTCCAGAGTGGCCCGGAAGCCCGACCTGGAGCCCATAACGCTTGGATTTTGATGTTTCCTCCGTCTCGTAACTTCTTGCACCGAACCGAAGGCAGCAGGCGCGATCTTTACGCTCGCAAAAAAGCATCGAAAGGCCTTCAGGTGCAATGCACAGGAAAAAGTGGTCACCTGATGCGGCGGGTGCCGAAACGCAGCTTTCACTTTGAGCTTTGCCACGGCGTGGTGCCACCTTCGCGTAGTGCTTGCTGCGCATTCATGTAAATGTTGACGCGTCGGTTTCATTCAAAGACGATTGGAGTCGGTGCGCTGAAGCCGCATTCATGGAAACGCGGCTACAGTTAGCGTGAAGAATAACGCGACACTTATCCGCTTTATAGTCAAACGGGGAATCGAGCAGTGCCTGAATGATTACCGCCCAATCTAATATAATAATAATAGCAAACAATAATATCCCTCATTTTCTAACAGAACCCAATGCTGTGGGAGAAAGTGGAAAAATAAATAAAGAAACCGATGATTGCTTGTTCCTACTATACAGTCACTGACAGCTCACCAATCTCTGAGTGTGGCGAATCGCAAGCACCTAACTGTATCACCCCACAGCCAATGAGACTGCGGATGAAAAAAAACTACAAGGAAGAAATAAGGGTGGACATATTTAGTCACGCCCCGCGTTTCTTAAGCCGTCAGTGATATATAGCGACTGGCCCCTTAAATAAACGGAGGGTGTGGCCGATTAAGTGCGCCTGTTGTGATTTAGAGCATCTAATCTGTCATTTGATGATCATCTGTTGTGCCACTAAACAATAAAAATAAGAAATAAAAAAAACGCAAGAAACGTGAACAAAATAAGGAGAATAAAGATAAAATAAAAGAAAAGAATAAACAATAAAGGAGAATAAGGCCCTGCGTTCCCGAAACTGTTTGTGACACATAACAGTGTTGTGCTTTGCCCAACGTTCAAACCTACTGGAGGGAAGAACTGATCCCGAGCGCTTCCGCATCAGCACACACAGACGATAAAGTTACGAACAAAAATAGTTATATGTGTTCTGTTGTTTCTGTTTAAAAGAGGGATTATGTTTTTGTTTTTTTCGAGCGTATAGAACCTTGGCTCTTATTTCACGGTGTTGCGTTACTGTTTTGATTAGATACGTGCCCTGGAAGAGCAAGGCGAAGGCAACCGGACACTCAGAGGAGCACCAATCAGTGCCCTTCTAAACAGGGCCCGTTTTGATTCGTCGTTCGTGGAAACAAAAACTATAAAAAAGAAAAAAAGAAACGCCAGTTGGATTTTCGCATTTGAATTTCTTCAAGCTTGTGCTCTTCGCGTCTGTACTTCGGTGAGCAATGTTTAAGCCACTAAAATGTTATGTCTGCTCAGTACTGGCTGTCGGGTTTCGAATTGCGAATTTTTTTAAAGAAGGTAGAAGGAGGCAATTAGGTAGCTGGCTCACTAATTCCACGGAATGTACGTACTGTCTATATGGCTTCTATTGAAGTACACCTCAAACACTGTAAACGACTTATTTTTCACGGGCTCAATATTTCACAATTTAGGCCAAAGCTGAAGTTTCGCAATAATTCGAGGGTTCTAATTTTCGCGACGCGGTGGGTTCTCAATATAGATTTTATGGTGTTTACATTTTGCCAGAATTGTTCGCGGAACCTATTTTTTTCGGATTGTAGGCGATTCGCGAAAATTAGGTTCTCGTGAAAATTAAGCAGTTTACAGTACATATTAAACATTTTAACCTAGGGAAAATTAAGGAGGCACTAACATAAATGTCCACCTATCCAACTAACTAAAAATTCCTGTTCGTTTTGTTCTAAAAAACTGGCATACTTAAAGATTTTTACGTATTAGAAAAATATTACGAGGTTGTAGGGAGCGATTTTATGCTACAGCTGGTACGAATAGCACGTGTCGGGGTCTAGCTGTGGCGTAGAAACAGAGAAGACGAGGGGTGGAAGTGCAACAGCTCATAACAACGAAGACTAAGAGGAGAAACACACGACACATAACGAGCGCTGCACTGCGTGGCACAACATAGCAAGGAGTGGCATGGGGTGTGTTTTGTGTGGGGAAGGGGGTTGGCGTGGAAATCACCCTCCCCCAGATATTTTTTCGTGTTGAAACCCTCTTAACACCCGTATATGTTCATGTTCCAATTCATTCCCAGCAAATATAAAGCTGAAGATGAAGGTGGCACTGGTCTTATTCCTTGTTGCCGCAGTGGCAATCGTCAGGTGAGTGAACATATTCGGTACTAATGCACGAGTCCATTTCTGACGTGCAACACCAGAATATCTGCATGCCTCATAGTTACATCAAGGTTGTATTAACCAAATATTAATTGAAGCAGCGTAGTTCTTAGACTGGCTAATAAATACTTTAAACTAAAAGTAGCAAGGAAACGCTTCTACGCTATGCAAACTATTGACAAAAACTGACGAATACAAATATACGCACGTCTAACACGTAGACAGCTATCAATCAATTATATGCATTGTGTACGCCAAGTGGCGATAGCTCAGTTCAGGCTTTTCCGCATAGCTCAAATACGCTACTTTCACCCCAGACCCTTTGCCCTTGAGAGTTGTTGTTCGTTCAAGGTTTACACCATACTTGACATTTTGCCATTGTTGGTGCAGATTTGATGGCGAATAGTAACAATAACAAGACTGCCGTGCTAGCATATTAAATGCATTTTTTTATTTTTTGGGGAAGGGTGCGTGGGGGGAGCGGAGGGAGAGGGGAGGGGAGGAGATTTTTTAAACTACTTGCAAGATACCATTGCCTTTATTACTGTTCAAATATACGTTGAAGTGAGTCTATCAATAAAACAAATTATATTTATATAATCCACCGAATCAAGTTAAGAGACCCAAATTGAATAGAGTGTTTTGAGCTTCGCGGGGTGTTTATTTACAAGCTTTAATGTGCTTGGGAGTAATGCCAATTTAGCGCGACTTAAGACCGCTAAATTTAGTGGATGACGTTATGGTAATTTTCTAACGGTTTTTCGCAACGCTTTCTTATAAACTTATGCTTTATGCTTATTGGAACCAGCCCGAACACATTATGTGCTTAAAAGCCTACACGGATAGCATGACACAGCATAGGCACACGGTTGTCGATTTTACTTTATTATGTAAAAAGCGAAGGGCTGTAATCACAACGTTTAAAGCCGTGAATTTTTATGTTGTGGCTTAAGATGAGTGTTCGACACTTGTCTCCATCAGTGACATGTATAAAAATAAATGTGATCGTGTTGTGCCGCGCTATGTAAATCAGGTAGAAAATTTATTTGGTAAAATAGCAATTTGTTTGAACTGTTGAGCTTTATTTTATTGGGCATGGCTCTTTGCATTGATTAATACTGTATAATGCAGTATTATGCATAATATATTGCATACTACTGTATAATATAATACTGTATTATGCAATGGCACCATTGCATAATACAGTTATCATGGTTACGGCTTGGGGGTACCAGTAGTAACTTGCAACTAAGCAAACAATATAAGTCTTGTCTAGATTGACGAGACATGTTTTATTGAGACAACCGCTAACATGGCGTCTTGATGTCTTCTAGTCGAAACATCAGCGTCCTTCTCTGGAAGAGAGTTAATTAGTTTTACGTCGAAAACCTGACTTGTCCCATTGAGCGAAAAAGCGGCGTATATGGCCATAAAAATACGACTGAGCGGCACGCTACTCTCAATCGTATGCTCAAGGACGACGCTGTGCTTGGAGTTGTCCTTGACGTCATCCTAAATATCATCCTAGACCTGTAGGACGACCTTGTCCCATTCCGCGAAAAAGCGGTGTCGTTGTGCCCGAAAGATGGCCATAAATATACGTCATCAAGCACGTGATATCACCACCGGAGCGCCGTGTGCAAAGGTAGCGGTTCGGTCTTCATCTGTGCTCGTTGTGTGCGACCGCGTCTGTGAGGCGACCGCGTCTACATCTACGGCCTCGACATCGGCAGCAGAGTTTACATCTACGACGGCTTCCGCAGGCAAACATGGCCGCCCAGGTAAATTCACCCCAGCCTCCTTAAGTTTCCTCCCTTAGGCGTCGTTCTCGACGTCATCCTAGATATCGTCCTCTAGGCGTCGTCCTCAACGTCGTCCTAGACGTCGTCCTTAAGGTCGTCCTAAAGGCCGCCCTAGAACTCGCCCTAGACGTCGTTCTTGACGTCGTCCTCTAGAACGTCATCCCCAACGTCGTCCTAGACGCCGTTTTTGACCTCGTCCTAAACGTCATCCTTAAGGTCGTCCCAGAGGCCGTCCTAGAAGTCGTCCTAGACGTTTCTCTTTCAGTCATCCTCTAGGATGACATCCTCAACGTCGTCCTAGACGCCGTTCGTTACGTCGTCCTTGACGTCGCCCTAAACGTCGCCCTTGAGTTCGTCTTAGAGATCGTCCTCGGCGTCATCTTCAAGGTCGTTCTGTAGGTCGTCTAGACGCCGTACTTGGCGTCGATCTCTAGGACGTCGTCTTCGACATCGTCCTATACGTCGTCCTAAACTTTAATACCTGCAGAAACATTACTCGAAAAAATTTCTGCCGCTGGACTATAATGCTTTCGCCCTCCGACATGTAACCTGTCTTGTATTTTTTCTTTACGGTCATGATGTAAGGCTTGTGAAGAATGCAAATATGCGTAGCCTGTGGGTGACGTCTATCGGCCTGCTTGACTTGCTGACTTTGAGAGTATTGGGAGCTGCGTATTAGGCCTATGATCGCTTTTCTCTAACTTTGCGACATGGCCCCGTAAATCAGTCATATTACTGAATTTCAGTATTGCTGAGAACACACATAAACAAAAAGTATGATCAGAGTTGCTAACCACTGTGGTGGCGATGTTAATCTCGTGTGAGGTGTATTTTGACGAATGTGCAAGACCCTCTTCAACCGTTCGCCTGAAAATACAGAAGGAAACTCAATCTTTATGTTGTTCAGTAAAGCCAAAACCTTTGGTACGATTGATATTTGTTTTCTTCAGGTTACGAGGTTTCTCTGGGACTAATAATACACTAGTGTTCGACGTATAAGTGACAGCGTTAAAAAAAAAATGAAACTTGGAATAAAGAAAAAAATTCTTCTGGGTTACGTTGTCTGCCGCGGTGGACATAAAGACACGCGTGTAAAGTGCTCACTAGATAATTAATTACCAAGGTGTCACTAATTCACTTTTTACCCTTTTCTTTAAGCTAGCATGTTTCAATTTGAGTTCTGCAGCCTGTCGTTTACTGAGGCTAAAGCAGTTCACATATCCCAGAAGAAAACATTCTACTTGGAGTTATTGCGTGGCAAATTTTGGGAATCACGGCAGCGGGAAATTGAAAATAACAATGAAAACGTACGTACGCTAGGAGCAGAAACTGTTTTGCTTTCGAAGGGGCGTCAGTGTGTGACGTGTGGTGATGGGCAAGTTGCTGTGAACAGGTGACCAGTAGCTTAGATGTTCCCACCCGCTCCCGCAACCCGATTTGAGACTGGGTGAAAGTTTATCCAAAACTCAAAGATATCTGTCTGATTGGTGCAAAAATGTTAAAAGAAAACCAGATGAGCCAATTACTCACGCGATGACTTTCGATTTTGAATCAGCTCGCTTGAGCAGGCCGCGAACCGAATTGGGATTGCGCCAAAGGTTTTTGTTATGTGTTGACGGATCTTTACGCTTCACCACACGTCACACTTTGACGCCTCTTCGGCAGCAAAACTGTTTCCGCTCCTGCTGCGCGTTTCTCGTGTTAGTTTTAATTTCCCGCTACCGTGATCGCCGAAATTCGCCGAAACATAACTACAAGTAGTGTTTTTTTTTTTTTTTTCAGAGATCTTTTTAGTCCGTTTTCCTCAGAAAACGACGAGCTGCAGATCTCTTATTGAAACGTACTGGCTAAAACAAAAAGGATAAAATTTAATTGGTGACTTTTGTGAATTAAGTATTTAATGAGCACTTTCCACTTGCGTTATTATATCCGCCGCCATGGACAATGTAATCACGAGGGAATCATGTCTTTATTTCAAGTTCCCCTTTTTCTCTCAATACTGTCAATTTTAACGTGAAACACCCTGTATATCTTCATATTAAATCACCACGGCGGAGATATCACCAGTTTATTCAATTATTCATGAGGTCCGAAGCACAATATTTATATGAATTAAAAAAAAAACGAGGGCTAACCTTCATCAGCACTTATAATATTAATAAAAATGTCTACTAATTGGGCGGACAAGAAATATAACATATATTTTAGCCTCCTGCGCGCGCTCAACTTAAAGTTTATAGAAACACACATATATTTCCATCCAAGGTGTAATATTTGACAATTTGAGGTTGTATTTATAATGTAGACGTGTTTACCCTGCAAACATAACCCAATTCTTACCTTGTACTGATATATTCACTTGGGGCATAGATTCAGATATTGCGTTATAACTGTGCAATACCTGTTTGGTTCTGGTTCTGGTATACGCACTAAGATGGCTAGAATGAAACTTGTGGACCAACGCAAGACAGCGAAATAAAAATAAACAAAATACCGCAATGCCTTGTCTTTACTCGCATCTTCTGATTCACTTTCGCCGCCTTCACACAAAATTAGATCCCGCTTGATCAAATTTTCAGTTCGAATACAACTTAATGTTTCTGTGATTTCAGTTCTAACGCTTATCAGTACTGAAACACCAAAATAACAGCCTAACAAAAACCGAAAAAAAAATGTTTGCTCAATGTTGTGGTCACCGACACGTATACCTCTACTAACATTGTTTTCCATTTGTCGTTGAGCAGGGTGCAGTCAACGAGTCCACCGAACTGTGCATTGGTGAATTGCGCGGACGAACACTGTTCGCCCGTTAACTGTGCCTGTGGGTCCTACAAGGGGTCATGCGGTTGCTGCGACGTCTGTTACAAGGTTCGGTAATTTTAGTTGTTTGAATATGCACTCTAAATAATGCGGAGGGTTTACTTTCCAGCAAAGCAATTGGCATAGCCAATCACTCTAATCTACGTAGGACGCTTGGCGAATGACGTATGTTTAACTCAAAAGTTAAACATACTAAACTAAAAGTCAAACATACTAAACGTATGTTTAACTCAAAAGAACTACCTGCGTCGTACAACGCTGACCACGTGTAGACGTCAGGATGATTATCACAGGGCAGATTATTTCACTGGGTCTAAATATACTTTCAGTTTCGTTATTCGTCGAGTTCCCTCCTTTGATTGCAGCGACTGGCTTTCCCATGCACCTTGCGTGATATTAGAGGGTCCACATTTCTTTAAGTGCATGGCGTGCAGCTTCAATTTTCAATGCTCATGACAAGTCAGTTTTTTACAAACCAGAAATAAAAAAGGTTCCCCATGGTAAACAAGACAGCTAGCGCTGTCGTAAATATAATAATGGTAATTAAAAAAAAAATGTTGATACAATGCAGTATGGCCCACCAACGCAGACTGTTTCTCCCTGCGGAACATAACCCAAAAAACTCCCAATCATAATAAATATTTATTCTTCTAGCACTAACCGAGTATTTTACCGCAATTAATAAAACAATACTTATCTAATAAAATTAATTGACTTTGGAATACAGGGTGACAGTGCCAAAGATTTTAACACAGTAAAAAAATACACGAGGTTCAAACATTTACTCCAAAATTCCCTCTTTTAATACCCGTTTTTAGCGGGGTTTTTGTTTTATTCATAAAGGGTAAACCAACTAAGTCATCCGGTCTGGTGGTAATTAATTAAGAACGAAAGAAACATATTAGCGTTTTTTTTTTGTTGTATGGCTAATAAGATTTTCGTTACTACATGTGTTTCGGCATGTCTCAGATTTATTTTTGTAATCTTTGATTTTAAGCTTTTATCATAATAATCGCGCGTTAATATGACGTACTCACAGGGCTTCTGATAAGGAGATATGCCTCTAGAGCATCAGTTCTTTATTTATATCTAAAGCGTACAATTTTAATCTTCAGTAAATTTGATGCCGTTTTTATGAAAACAACATCTAGCTCTGTAGCATTTTGGTCATGTCATACCCCTCAACGTTCTTTAGGAATAAAACGAGACATTATTTCACGTATATTGAATATAATGAGGAATAAACTGCTGTTAAAAATTCGGGTAAAACTAGATGTGACGTCAATATTTGTTAAAACACGTTTTCTACTGTTTCGTCTCCCATTTTTAATATAAAAAAGATCGGACCGATATTGATTCAGCATATATAATATTGTTAAATAACCAAATATCTGATTTTTTTTTGCTTTTTTAGTGAATAATGTCTCCGTCCCTAGTTAAATGAACTTTGATGTTTACTTTTATATCCCAGCTCAGTCACTAGATCAGATTCCGTCATACAGAAATATGTCAAAGCAATCGAGCTTAATGTAATTATTAAACTTTCGGCGAAATATTAGATGAGTGGTTAGCAAAAGTGCCCGCCAGAGTGGGGCACTGCAGAATTTATAAACATGTTGTATACTTATTAAATAAAACATTGCATTTAAAATATACGAATAAAATTCGCAAAATATTAACGATCACCACTATTAAGAGCGAAGTCAGACATTTATGACACCTAACATGAACGTACAGTTTCTCTCTAATGAAGGTTTAATTACTGTTATAGTGATGAACAAATACATTAATTTGATACTAATATCAAATTAATAAAACTTAGAAATATTTTGACTGGCATGGACGATGCCGACAGAGGAGATAAACAATAGTTTCTGTTAAAATAAGCAAGTTGTTCATACTAGACATACAAGGCCACGTTTAGGTTGCGCTATTGTCCAAGTAGCAAATGTGTTAAAAGTTCAGGTGGTTTTTATTAACAGGCAATATTTAACGAGAGTAAAATCTTGATGCCCGGTGGGTGTTACCTACAACAGTCATAAGATTACAAGATTTTTTTTGTTAGTCACAAAACTTGATTAATAATATGACGTTACCAGACCCATTCTATAGTAATGGCTACAAACAAAAATTACAGACGCTGTTACGATCATCAGTCCTCCGAAGCAAGAATTTATATTTTATTTGACTGCAATTCTTAAGTGTACTTTAGACGGCATGTTGAAGCCGTACAGCAAAGATAGGTTTAACAATTGAAGAGAAAAATTCTAAAAAGAAGCATGCAATTTTTAGTATTCCCAAAACGGCTGTTCAAATATTCTCATATCAAGCCGAATATCAAGGCAAGTGTCAGCTATACCTTTCTTCTGGTGTAAATTTCCTTTTCAGTGTGCCAATGAAGCCTGCGTTATACTCCACCAGCACCGTTGCGAGGAAGGAACCGAGTGCAGGCTGAATAATCCCGAGGAAAGTATTTCCCAGGGTGCCCAGGGTACGTGCATCAGGAAACCAAGCACAGAAGGACCACATGGTCACAGCCACAATGAGAAGTAGAACAGATGGATGAGTTTGGAATAAAAAGCCTACCGACGACGTAAACGAATGCAGGGTCAAAAGCTGAAGACGCTAGCTGTCCTTTGTGAAGCGTCCTTGTATGCATTTATAATCGGGGGCGGATCATTGCTTATCTTTTAAGGCACAGCCGAAAATAAACTATGCATGTTACAAACTATGGACTGTTGTGCGCTATAAGATGGAAAACAAATAAAATATATTCAAGCAGTATGACTTAAATGCTATGTTTATCTTGCTTTCCTGATTAGTGTGTTCACCTGTGGGCAATTAATACCGGTCATTTTTGTATAAACTGGTAATAAGTTAAAACAGTATTTATGAAAAATCAAAGAATACATTCGAGACAACGTTATCGGCTGAAGCGGACATCAGAACACGAGTGTGACGAGGTCATTGCAAAATTTTTACATAAATGTCCTAATTCACTTTTGGAATTCATTATACCAGTTTGTTTTATTACAGTACAAGATGGCTAACCTCTCGCCAAGATAAGACATAGCAGTTGAGGGACGTAAGAAAAAAAGCAATTCTGCATCGTTTTGGTGAGTTACGAATATAAGATGTGAAGAGAACCGATCGAGATGACAGAAGTAAAACGCGAAGAGTGACGCAAAAAAACGCCCTGAAATGACGAACGGGGCCGCAGCTCCAGGGGCGGAATGTTTTATGAAAATAATCACAGCGATTAACCGAGGTGACTGTAATGCTACCTTGGAATTTCAGTAACTAAATTACGTTTTCCAGTAATGTAATTATTTTCTTCCTAATGTAATGTTTGAATGAAAATAAACACTCTGGGGTGGTAAGTTTATCTAAATCACCCAATCACGTTTTCGGTTCCATATGCATTTTTGTAGACTTGCTAGAGAGATGGACAGCAATCTTTTGCTAAAAAGCTGTCCGGACAAGCTGAAGGTAACATAAAAAGATATTGGTGAAGAATACATTAATCATAACGTGGCTCGTGAAGCATAAAGTATCATAGATGCTGGGAAAGTAGCGACAAGGTCCCCATACGGTCACCATATGGATAAAAAAGATGAGCAGCTTTTCATTGACATAGACATCGTGGCGAGAACCACGCTAGGGGTTGCCACTGAGCAGAACGTGAATTTCACGTGATATCCGTAACAGAAGGATGTCCGGTTTGTTTACGGGACGCCTCATTCGGAGGTCGATGCGGGGCAGAGCAAAGAAGCAGAGTAGTAGTTTGACGTCTGTGACGTCATGCCCGGTTTTCGTCCAAATAGAGGTATTTGTACCTATTTTGTTACCTTGACATCTTCACCCGTTCACTTCGCGCACTCCTCCGGAGTGTGCTCCCAGCTCGTTCCTCCGAAGTCAACACAACTGTCATAGTAAAAGACGTCCCGTGCCAGTCGTTTGCAAAGCGACTTAGATGGAAACATATGGTCTCAGCGTTTTTCGCGGCCTCGGGAGATGCAGGAGCGAGCCGACGTTAAAAGTTTCAACTACGAGAGAGTCAACAAGAGCCACGTAAATACCTGTGCACACTCGGAGTGGAGGCGCGCGTTTGATCGAAGTGCTTCGGGACCGATCTTTTATGATTACCACTCGATACTGACATGACACTCGGCAAAGAAAGGTGGGACCGGCATTGCGTAGCTCCCACAAACTCGACAGTGACGTGGTACAGTCGTGTAAGAATAAAAATGGCATACTAATAACAAAGTGTGCATGCGTCGTGTGGCGAAGGTAATCCATACGGCGTTTATTTGAGCTCATATCACACAAAACAAGGAGATAGAATCGATGAGAGTCCATTTTCGACGACTGCGTTCGTCACCGCTACTTCGGAAAACAAGGATATAGTAAGAGAAAGAGATTGACCAATTAATCTAAAATTGAGGCCAGCGATCAAACTATAATACGGGAAGGGCACACAAGGGTCGAACGGACACGCATTCTATTCAGCAAGCCAGCCGGTCGTGGGCAGACGGTTTTGGCCAAGACCGTCAGAGCAATGCTGCGGCGAGTCGTTGTGCCGGCTAGGCCTAAATTCTGCCGAGCTCGCCCGGTCGGTGTCATCGTTGCTGTTGTAGCTTTTCCCGGGCATTTGTGGATCCAGCGTTTGTGTTCGTCGTGGCCGGTTTCGAGTTCTTCCTTCTTGTTTCTTGCTGCTTGAAATCGGGACCCGCGAGAAGAGCACGTAGAAAAATTAATGTCCGTTGGTCGTCGCTGCCAAGTAACTGAGGGCCGTTGTCGGCCATGTTGATTTTATCGTAGAAATACGATTCCTGAGCTGTTTTCATACGTACATGTACATTTTTGGCGTAAGATCGTTTCGTGAATCTGGCCTCTGTTCTTTAGCGCATGGCACTGCAACAATGACACACCGCAACCGCCGCCTCCCCCCGCCCCAACACTGGACACATACAACCCGCAACAAACTCCCCGCAAAAGGCAAAAAAGAAAAAAAAAGAAGTGATATTTTTTGCCTGTTTTTGCGTTTCCGGCAGTGACGTCACGGATGTCACTGCCCCGTATCCACCTCCGAAAAAGGCGTCCCTTTGTTTACATCTCGCGCGCCATAGCGGTACGGTGTGAGAGCATGCTTTCGGACGCGGCACTTTGATTCGTTATTGTTCTGTCTATGGTGCCACAACACACGAGACCAGAAAAAGGCGTAAGTTTCCATCCAAATTCAAAATAAAAACAACGATGTAAGTTGAGGTTATATTAAAACAAGGGGAAAAGGTGTGGACGACCGCGATATTGTGCTCGAACCACTTTTCAGGTGCTTTCACAACGAATCGTGTATTTTGTATTACGTTTTGATTTCCTTCACGAGTGTGTGGTTCGTCCACCATACGGATACCACTGGCGGGACTCGACGGCAACGATAATTCGATAATACTTATTTCCTTTTCCCCCTCACCCGAATTCATTTCTCTGGGTCTTCCGTGTTACCTGTCCCGCCGGAAAGTTGAAAGAATGCAGTCATCATTATTTTCTCTCAACCGAAAGGACGCTCCTGTGTCTGTTCAATAAATTGATTCCCGAGGATCCCACATTTGAGCGAGTCTTGCATTTCCTGCTGTTCGGTAGCCGCGGCGCAGTGATCTGATCGAAAGAAGAAAAAAACTTATGCCTAATGCTTCACTATTTTGACTACATGTGGACGCCGTTCGGATTTTGTTTTTAATAAAACGTGTTTTGCTGAACGTTCATGCTCAGTACTACGAGTGTTAATTATTCTAGATGGCTTATGGCCAGGGTAAAACGTCATGTAACGGCCCAAAATACTGGCTGTAATCCTAGGGTTTGTTGTGTTTTATTGACAGTAATTATAACTGGAACAGAAAAGTACTTCACTCGCAGGTACCACATAAATAAGTCCACATCTCTCATTTTATTTTTATTTTTATTACGGCAATCACCTAACATCCTTATCTGTACAATGTCTCAAATGACTGTCATCGCAGCATTAGCTGTCGCTCAAGCGATTTCTCAGTTTAAATGCACAATCTTAACGAAACGACACGTCGATAAAGATAATTTGACAAAACGATTTACACTGGAAGCTTGCCTATGTTTCTTTTTTTTTTGCTTCTTTTATTAATGTATGAGCGTTTATTTTATTTTTTATTTTTTATAATCTGAGTTGGGCTTTTAAATGGCCTGCCTCTTAAGAACGCAACATTTATGTTTGTATTAACTTCATAAGGACTCATAGTCATCCTCAATTTATATGCTGGGAACCTTCCCTTCCCTACTGTAATTACCAAAATAATCAATGTGGTGCTGCTGCAGATTTGATCAGGCTTGGTAAAGCCCAAGATGTGTATAAAAGCAAATGTATGCAGGACTGTCCTTTATCTTTTGAAAGATGTAAGAATCTGAGTAGAAAACTTGTAAGTTTATCATAGGGCCGCTAAATGAGCTTCGCTTAGAGTATCCGCACTCTGTTCCCCAATATTGTTGTGGGAGCTGCTATTTTGGTGCTTGTGCAGAGCAGACGCAACTGCCGATCGTCATGACTTAAAAGTGCCACTTCCTCAGCATTAGATTCGGTGTTAGGAAGCTCATGTAATACTGCTGTGCTCTGTCGCGAACTGTTTAAACATTTGTGAAGGACGCAAAAGCGTTTCCTGTGAATTCAGGCAACGCTTCAGATAACTGGGAACTATGATTTTAAGCCACAATATGGACAAGTGCTGTTACTCTGAAGCGTATCTTATGTAGTGGCACTAGGTTATCTCAAGGGAGGAAACCAGGTCAATAATGGTGCCATTGATTGTTCTCCAAGGAGCCAGGACAAATAATTTTTTTGAAACTGCCAGTTAAAGTGTGACAAGATACGTAAGTTTAAAACTTTAGCGAGCTAGAAGTGGGCGTCTTCAATGTGCTCTGCCCAGAACAAAAAAGAAAAAGAAAACTAAAATAAAAAGAGGAAGAACCCATTTTTTAAGCAGGTTTGAAGCCTGTAATGAAAAAGTCAAGTTTCGGGATTTTACGTGCGAAACCAATGACAGGCGTCTGGCACGCCGCATGCGGATGACTGAGGATTAATTTGGACCACCTGGGGATCTTTTGACGTGCAACCGAAAGCTCGGTTAACGGCATCTTTTCCGTAATAAGCATCCGTCAGATTGCGGGCACCTTGGCCGGGATTTGAAACCGCGCAACCTTTGGATCGAAAACAATGCCAGACGCATTATTTGCAATCGTCCGCGATAAATGCAAAATAATTTTATAGAAAAAAAAGACAAAACAGAAGGCTACTAGCGAGACAGTCAGGTTGAACGAAAGGACATTCAGCCCCGAAGCGACACCGAAACTTCTCGCCGTGAAAACAGTGTGGGTGCGCCGGTCCAAACTCTCGGTGACAGACTGTTTCACATGGACATTTCTGGTACGCCAACATTTTTTGTTATCGAAAATTGATTACGTTCACCCCAGAGCAGTGTGTGTAGATTTTGGTAATTAATTGGTAAGAATAGGGGGAAAATAAGGGCACGTCATTGGCCTAAATGTTTTCAATGACCTTGGGCGCGATGATTCACAGCTCTTGTGACCAACCAGTACCCACATATATTTTCCCTGGCGGAGGTTATGAGCTTAACAAATATCCTTCAATCACAGTTTCTAGGCAAGGATGTATTCAAGTATTTAATTTCAGCACGCTGGAGTTAGCATTTGAGACTCTTCGCTACTGAAAGTTCAACGCACGCGACCTTGACGTCCCAGCG